TGTTAGGACCAATTATTTAGACAAACATGGATCCAAAAAAACCATCGACCTATTTTTTTACGTTTTTTTTTATTCGTAGAAGCGCGCAGCGAAAATGAACCTCAGTTTTCTGGTCCTCGTATGTGCCCCTACAATATGCACAAGACCATTTTGAAAAAGCTCACCACGCCCTGAACGACCTCCCTTGTAAGAGTTATTAGGTTTCCCGGCCAGAGATGTCACCCCCGCCATACTGATAGTTCTTCCAGTGTCTAGCGAGCTGATGCAAGTGATCCAACGGTTTTACTAAGCGGTGGCCAAAGCCGTGGTTGCGCGGAGATTACTGGAAATGAGTATTACGGCCCGGTTCTGAACCTTCAAGGCCGTCAGCATGGCCCTCTTCGCGGCTGCTTATCTATGCCAGCCTTTTCGATTCCTCGAAGACTGTTTTCCTCTGAGTCCCCAAGAAGGTCTTTCAGTTCTGACTCTCAGGAAGGGCGTTGGAAACCTCCTCAGAGTCAAAAAGTTTCGAGTCTCGTTGTATCCCTGCTGACAAATAATTACATCGTAATTTGTTGTTGTAATGTGAGCACTACTCACCTTATTTGACACAAGTACTGCTTTCCTACTTGCAACATAAAAATGTACACCATCAAAATTTGTAGCGACGTCAGTTGATGAGAAAGTTGCACGTGAAAAACCGTATCGGCGACTTCTTTCGATCGCTACGTAACATCATGCATATTGCTCTGATTAGTTTCTCTTAACAGATGTGCTTGTTTTCTCACTTTGGCTTTTTTTTTGCAGAAGAAATCGAGATAAAGGATGTGGAAGCTTCGGCGCTGGTTACTCTCATTGGTTTCTGCTACTCTGGTAAGATAAAAATCAGTAACCGTAACGTCATGAGCGTACTGCCTGCTGCCTGCCTGCTCCAACTGGACGAAGTTCAGGTCAGGTCAGGGGAAACAAAATGCCCCATTGCTCTTGTGTGCTTTCAGAAGTTGTTTCCAGCCCTTGCAAATGCTAACGGAACATTTGAAAAACCCTTCAATAGAGGGAAAAGGTCTCAAAATATTTGCCAAAACTTCGTTTGATATAAACTAAGGAAGGTAGTATGCCTCACCGAGATAATGCCGCACCAAGCCGACAATCGCATCATTACGCTTTTCTTGCTTATTTCGGCCCTTGCCCCGATGGGTTCCCGATCCATCTGAGTAGATGTATAGGAGAAACAATTAAGTTTCTCATTGAAGCTACTCATTAATTATCAGCCAGTAATGCAGCCTCATAGACAACTGCCGTTTTGAGATCCGATCGACTTGCACAAATTGAAAACATGATGAATGTGCTGACCATGCTTTGTTCCTGTTCTACAGGGGGGGGGGCAAAAAAA